GCCTTGGCTGGAGTCAGTGTCTGGAAGTGTTTGCCTCCTCTGCTGTGTCTCTCAGGTCATTTGTTCCCCAGCTCGGGGCCTGCTGCCAGACGAAGGCTCAGCGCACCAGCAGTAAGGACCCTCCAGGAGTCAGGAGATGCTCAGCAGCACCTCACCTTGGTGCTGGGGGTGACAGCGGGGAGTCAGGCCGACACCATGACTGCTCCCCGAACTGCTCTCCCAGCTCTTCAACATCAGCTGGGAAAGCCTCACGCAGAGTGCAACTGGGTCACAAAAACGGAGGGAAATTCTCTCAGTGACAGAGCCACGCTGGATATGAGACCTCCCATCCCAGCTGGCCCCTGGCCATGACAAGCTCCACATGTCAGAGGCTACAAGCGTGGGAAGCCTCTGCTCAGACATCAGGCCAAATCAGCCTTGCAAAGGGACTTGAGGATCCTCCCTGAAAAAAAAACCATCCTGCCCTCCGAGGCATGATACCTCAGAGAGGAAATGTGTCAGGTCCCTCCCTGGAAATCTCTTCCTATCCCTTGGCAAGGAAAGCGCTCACCAGGATGTTTCGTCAGCAATTGTAGCACCTCGTTTTGAGAGACAGTGACACAGCCCTGCTAGAAAGTGTAACGTGGATCAATCCGGTGAGGCGGAGGCAAAGAAGTGGGGGACAAATAAAAGCTGTTGGGTGAGAAAGCCCAAAACCTCACGCTCTGTCCAAAAGGTCACTGTCCTGCTGCAGAGATGGCTGCAAGCCTAAGTAACCAGGGCATTTATGATTGCCTTGGTGGCACTCAGCTGTGTTTTTTCCGGTTTGAACTAAACCAATGACATTTTAATTCAGGCAAATGATTTCCCCCTTTTCTTCCTTCCCAGTGATTCACTTTTATGTGGCAGCACTGCTGCAGCGCCTTGTGTACCTGCATGTATGAACTGTGATTTGGAGCTCCAGTTTCCCCTTCTGGCCCAGCCTCCCCCATCAGGCTACATTTCCTGTGATGAGCCACCATCTCTCCAGCCGGGGACTCCCTAGTCTTCTGGGATACTGGGTGTTGCTTTCTGGATAGTCTTCTGGATTTTCCCAGCAAATTGTGGGAAAATGGTGGTGTGGGAAACCTGCTGCCCAGGGACCAAAAAATGGTGGTTTGGGAAAAAAACATACTCCAGCTCTCAAGGAACTCCAAGGTCCCTCACAATCGTCTCCAGGGGATGAAAAACACTAACAGAGAGCCAAGGCTCCCTCTGTTCAGTTAAAATAACACATCCTTAAGAGGAAGCCCCAAGAAATAAAGACACCCAGCCCTCCAAGTGGGAAAGGTTGGCCAGTTCCTTAGGGGGATGCCAGTGCCCTCAAGACTTCACCTGGTAAATGGCTTCGTCGCAAGCGTTCTGCAGGCCTAGGTTCACCATGGTGTTCTGCAGAGTGCGGCCCATGTAGAACTCCAGGGACAGGTAGTAAATGCGCTAGGGAGGCAAAGCCAGACGGTTACGCACAGCACAGCACTTTGCTTTCCCCCAGAGTCGCTTAAAATCAAGCACAGACAAAAGTGTTTTCCAGAGCAGGGATGTCTTCCCAAACCGGCTCTTGGCGCCTGCTCCTGAACACCACGCACCACAGTTTGTTTGTCAGAAGGACGTCGCGCGGGAGGCCAGCCAACCCTCCACCGCGCCTCTCCCTGCCAACAGCCTTCTATAGAAAAATCTTGTTGCCTGTTAAGTGTTTCCCTAATTAACTTAGGGCAAGAATTATCTAGGATGCTGAATGGTATATTTATACACTGTGGAGCTCAGCTGAGGCGATGCTTACGCTGGGCTTTTGAAGTTTTCCCATGCTGAGCTGAAGCTGATCCAGAGCCTGCCGAAAGCCGGAGTGAGCCCCCCAACGCCTGGCCAAGCTCAGGGCCAGGCCTCTTCTCATTTTTCAGTCCTCTTCTCATTTTTCCGCTGTCCGCAGAGACCTGTGCTGAGTTTTATGCCCACATTTCACCCTGTTGAACATATAAACCGTCCCACAGGTGGTGGGGATCCCGGCACAACTAGGCAAGTTCCAGAGGAGCCATGCCCGTGCCGCGAATGCTAACAAAAGCCTGCTTGTAGGGCGAGAAGCAGGCTGCGCAAACTTTTGCCCTTGCTCGGGCTTAGTCCTAGAGATACTTTTATAAATAAACAGGAATTTTCGACAGGGCAGTAGCCTGACTTTAAACTGTGCTTCCCCTTGACTCGCTTTCCTTCGTAGCTGCGATCTCTCCCCACTAAGCAGCCGGATTACCCGCTCTGCCGGCACTTTGAAAGGGTCCATCTGTTCCCTGCAGCTCATTGGAAAGACTGAAAACATCGCGCAGTTGCATAAACACTCTGCTCCTTTCAGTCTCCCCCAGCGACGCGTTTCTTGTGAAAATCACTAGAAACAAGGGGACGGTAAGCAAACTCCTTCTGAGCTCCTCTTGGCCTTTACGGGACCTCCACAATCCCTCCGGTTAGCCTGGCAATACGGATCAGAGCGCATCTGTGTGCGTGAGGGGGAAAGGGAGAGAGCTCCGCGCACCGGCGTAACTCCCAATGCATCTGCAGCAGCGCCAGTGTGAAACTGCAGTTTGTTTCTGGTGTCAAGGCAATATTCATCACCTCAAGAAAAGAGCTGACTCGAGGAGGCAGCTGCCTGCACGCTGCGAAGGTCCGTGCCTTTTTCTCCAGCACGCACCTGCCCTTCTGGGGCTCTGCAGCGAAGTGCTGGGTCGGGTCTTAACTGAAACAGGTTAAGGCTGAATAATGTCCTGGAGGCCCCCAACACCCTGACCCGACAAGCAGGGAGGAGAGAAGGGAACGGGGTCAAGGCCCCTCCAGGGTCTAGTCACTGGGGACAGCTCGTGGGGTTTGCAGGAGGCAAGAAAC